TCAGAACAAGCAGTACCCAAGCTAGTTGCTTTATCAACCACTTAGGAGCTGCTGTTCCTTGTTTTACTGGACCCTTTTACTTTGTCTGCGTTAACATCTTTTAGTCTGAGCCCAACCCACAGCATCAATTGGGCTCTCAGGCAAAAACTTGCACAGTAAGGAGCTCCTGCAGTGGAGGAAACATCCCAGGGATCTCATACAATCTCAAGGCCTGTCTTTTCCTTCTCTTCCATCTCTATCTGGCATGTAACACGTATTTTTCTAGTGTGCACTACTGAATTTACAGACAAGCCTCATCTCCCTCACAACCTCCAACTCTTCTACATGGCCACTTCCCTCTCGGTTACAGGCAAAAGCCAGAGCAGCCCTACCAGTCACCAAATCTGAGCACGAAACACCAGTCTTAGCACTTACCCAGCCAGAGGAAGGAGAAATCGTCATGTTACAGTTTCATTAGCAGAGCAGAATTCAGTGTGTAAATCTTATGTAACATTCAGTTCTTAGATAACTTTGTCTCGTTCTACTGAAAAAGCTTTGGTGATTAAAAAACAGTCTACCCCTACCTCTAATCCATGGGATAACCCCATAAGAAACTCGCAAAAAGCAGATGTAATCAGAAGTTTCACTGGAACAAGAGGAAAAATTGCTGCAGTTCTAACACTTCTAACAGTCTAACATTTCCCAGGCTGCAAGGTGATTGAGGGGCAACCAGAGTCCTAGCAAGGAAAAAGATTTCCAACAGTCTGCACGGTGCAGCCTGAAAGATTATCCACTTTCTTGGACAAAGTGACATTGTAAGCAAATTACCCAGCTGTATCAGTGAGCCTTGGTCTCCTTTATGAACCAACAAAGCATCTTTCTAGACATTTTGGAAATACAGAGAAATTGCCAGTTTTAGAAGACATTACAGAAGAAAACTCTCTCCTCAAAGCTTGTATTTCACAGTGTATTTTTTTGCTCCAGTCAAAATCTCCTTTGGGCAGATGCTTAACATGGATGTACAAACATCTGCATACCTACTTATCAAAGCTGATACCTTCACGTCTACATGCATGGGACAAGTTTGACCCACAACCTCCTCTTTTATGTGATTCCCCTGGTGCCCATACTCACAATACAGGTCCTTTAGTTGGATGGCTCTTTTGCTGACCCACTCGGAAACATGCTGCACTACTCTGCCCAGTATTTGCAAACCAGAACTTGAGTACTTTAAAGCAAAGCATGGACCTCCTTTCCCATCATCTCCTGGGACCTCTCAGTCCCCAAAGCTTGCCTTTTCCCCCCTCCCATTCCCAATGCCACCTGGACAGAGGCTCACCTGCGTTTTCCTTATCCTCAGGTCAGCAGATGACCTATTCAGTCCTTCCTCTTGTTCAATACTCTGTTCAATACCTGGTTAGGGTAGAAAGATACAGATTATTTCAGGCAGTTTGAAGAAGAAAAAAGAATGCTTGGCAGAGTGATTTAAAAGAACTAAATTTGTGGATCAAGGAGCATTTGGTACTAAGCAGAGCCTCCAGCTCTGTGGTCTGGCCTGTGTTTTAGCCTGGATGGGCAGCAAAGCACTGTTTCATTAATACAAAGCACCCACTCCATTTTTAACCTGCTGCCTCTGCTTTTAATAGGCAGGTGATTAGTTGTTCAGACATGAGGAGACTAAAATTCTCTCTAGAGGAACATCAGGGGACTAAAATTAAGTGTAGGAGTTGTATATCCAGAACAGCACCATCTGCACCCCTCATTTATGACTGTCACATGCTCACAGACTGGTGTATGTCCATCTTTATCACCCAATCCCACAGCCTTCTGCCCACCTAGGTACGTTTTTATTTGCATTCCAGCAATGTCTGGCCACAAGACGAGACTCAGTGTTTTTGAGGGCAGCACCAATCACATCCAGCTTGGGAAGCGAGAGCTTCACAACAACTGCTGCAATGCCTGGATTTGACCTCTGCATTTTCTAGTATTCAAAGAAAATGGAGCGCGGTGAAGGAAACGCAGAGCTAAAATGTCGCTGCAAAATAAGGAAGCTCAAGACTTCTCTAAGGACTGTAAAGATAGTAGGTTTGCCAGCTGCCTAGCGTGCACAGGGAAGAGCCGTTAGCCTCAATGCATAGGCTGAAGAGACAACGTTGTTCATTCCAGCTGAACAATTCACTGTGGCAAAGCACTAAGAGCAGATTTGCCCTTTTAATTACGTCTGGTACTGCAGTTAAGTGAAATTAATTCCTCACTTGCCCAAAGACCATAAATCACAGTCTGGCCAGGAGTGCTACCTCGGTCACTGTCCCGCCAGGTTCTGGTGGGGAGATGGCACGGCTTTGCAGGGCAAGGAGGGCTGGCACGGACCGAGCGAGCGCAGAGCTGCTCCTCCTGCCAGTGAAAGAAACGCTAATTTAGAAGCTCCTGTGCTACAAACTGGGCTCTAAGATCCACTCCCCTTTTCCCTGGCTCCGCCAGGCAGCCCGCTCAGCCCTTCACCAGAGATGTGAGGCTCCACACAAGCTGGCCTGAGCTACAGGCAACCCTCAAATTAGGCTAAAACGCCTTATTCCTGACACAGCTACCCCTGCAGTTCTCCAAACATAGCTGTCCCGAGGCAACTTTTGCACCAGAGTTTATCCCACACACCCAGCACGGAGTGTGGGCTTCTTCCTCAAGTCACAGAAGGCAGCAACGGTTTCCATCCACCCTGGACCTGCCAGGCAGCTTCACCCCATAATCCAAAGCAGGAGAGCAGAGAAAGTAGAACACCACAACCAAGAGAGGCATCTGTATTTTTCTTGTAGAGTGATTAATAAAAGCGGCTTCAGAGTACCTCGTTGGAGACAGTAGCAGTAGGGAAACTTTTAAGGAAGTCTTTGCAGACCTGCAGAATACATCATGATGCTGGCTGAGAGCATCCAAGCAGCTAACACAGCAAAATACAACCTGTAAAGTTCCAGAGAACGCATCTTACAGTACCTCTCATTTTCTCCTAGAAGGAAACAGTCTGTGTCTAGGAATTATCTGAAAGGTCTCATCCCACACAGCCAGACGGCTACGGTACTTCTCACATCGCTCGCCCAGCCTGGGACTGTGCACTGGCTGCTGCCTGTACAGCAGATTTCATCAGCAATTGGTCTTCCTCAACACTTGCCATAAATTGTTCCCTGTTCCTAAGGAACAGTATTGGCAAACATTGCACATTTATGATAATTAATAAAATCACATTTTCTCAAGAACCTGGTAATTAGGATTAACCACTGCATGAGCAATTTCTCTCCTAGAGAAGTCATTTCATCGTCAACAGATGGTGTTTTTGATCATTCCTGACTGTTTTCTTCCATTGATCAGGCTGGCCATGAGGAAACTTGGGACAAAGCACAAGTGCAAATATCCTGCTGCTCCAGGTAAATGCAGAACTTGGGAGAGTCTTTTGGGGGACTTGGAAATAGGATTCAGTCTGCCCTGAGTGCTGAAAGCACTCAGAGCACCTTAGGAACCACAGAAAGTGCCAAAGAGAGTTTTGCTTTTCACTAAAGAGTGAGAGCTGCTAACGTGTAGTGAGGAACCACTGCACTTTCAGTGACTGCTGTGAAGTTTGAAGCCATCACAATAGCTGAGGATGCTGGTGCCACGGTGCTGAGGATGCTGGTGCCTCCTTGGAGAGCTCAGCGGGAAGGCAGCTTTTTGGAGACCCTCCTAGAGGAAAACTTTGTTCAGTTGCTTCGTGCAGAGGGAGCTCCTGGGGTGCCCTGGATCCCGGCTTGCAATCTCCTTTCAGTGGGGCCAGCTGTGTTCCCATGTGGACACCAGGGATTCCACTGTGGAACCACAAGCTCCGGCGCACAGCACTGCACAGGGAGGAGAAACAACCTCAGCTCAAGCTTAACACAACTGCATGGGGCAAAATCCTAGAGACCAAGGAAGAAAGTGACAGTTGGCTATGAGGGACACCATGAGACACAAGAAGCCCTTCTGTAGGGTCCAAAGGACAAGCTGTTTCTGACTCAGGAAAGGAAAGGGTGGCAGAAAAAACAAGAACCACGAGGCTCTCACAGATGGGTGGGAATTTTATGTCTAATCAGCTGTTCCAGCAAGGAAGCATCACAGCTCAAAGAGCGGCAGCAGAGGGACGAGTGATGCTCCTGGTGCCCACCCTGGACACACACAGGCAAGCAGCAAAGAATCCAGCAAATGGCTCCGATCCCACAGACGTCTTCCAGAATTACAAGGGATTCTGGAAAACAGTGCTTCCAGCAGAGAAATAGCAGCTCCTTTCCTAGCTCTGAGGATATGGCCAGTCATCCCGCAAGAAGCTGAGGCAAAGTCAAACCAACCGTGCGCTAAGAGTCAAGACCTGCTGCAGGCAAAAACGGGCCTGGCCCAGCTCTGCCCGGGGGCGGCCTGGTTCTGCCCAGAAACGCCGCGGCCGCAGCTGGACACATCCACACGGTCCTGCAAGGCTGATCCCGGCCCCAAGGCTCCTCGGCTCCCTCGGCAGCGGCGTCTCCTCGGAGCGGCCGGCACGTCGCAGCCATCCCTGGCTCCGCAGCCGCGTTGGTTTTGCTCCCCAGCTGTCACAGACATTGGTTCTTCTCACAACGGAAACTTGGTTGCACTTGCGGAGCCTTTGCCTGAGTTGCCTATGACAGAAACATGCCAACAAAATGGAGCCTGTGGAGATACAAAAACCTTCCCCAAGCGCCTGGCCCCTTTCTGCTGCTCCAGCATCTCCACAGAGCCCCATTCCCTGCAGCTTGGCCCAAGGGAAGACCAACCAGGTCCTGCAGAAGCAGGAGAGACCTGGGGCAGCAGAGGCTCCAAAGCCAAGTCCTGCACCCACAGCAGAGCAGGCCGAGCTCCGGCCTGCTGCAGGACGAGCCAGCGTCAGAGCACGGGGCTGCAGAGAAGGCTGGGCAAGAGCAGTGGTCGTTCTCCAGACAGCAGCCCCTCGGCACTCTGCTTGCTGGACAGGGCTGTGTTCTGCTCACCAGGGAATATCCAGCTCTTTTTTGAGGTCTACCAACAGTTTGGCCCAACCTGGCACCTCTTCAGCCTTTTAACCCCGCTCGGTCCAGCCCCTCTGGCCTTCCTGCAGGGCCAGGGCTCACAGGGAGCGTCTCCCCCAGCCTGAGGTCTCGAGCTCGGCCTGCTGCACAACTGGCCAACTTGGCAACTGGCTGGTCCATGTCCTGGGCAGCAACGTCTGGAAAAATGAAGCCCATCTCCAGATAATCCCACCAAAGCAAAGGTGGAAGCCATCTCTGGCAGTCCCTCTGCTCACTTCTGGGATCCCGTTCAGCATCGATCCCATTTTCCAGAGTGTACAAACGGCCTCAGGCTGCAGCTGCTGTAATTGTAACGTGCCCTTTCCAGCCAAGAGCAAAAGATCCCCAAAAGGTCTTGACATGAGTTAACCACTAGCTGCTGGCATGGGCCTGAGATGACAGCCCCACGGCACACTGAGCTGATCCGCAGCCATTTCAGGTCATTGCACGTCCCCAAACCCCTCCCATTTCCCTTCACCACGCAACGTGCATTCTGAAAATCTTCATTATGTGACAAAATAAACCCAAACAGTTCTGGGGAAGCTGGAGACAAATGAGGACAAACTCAGTGGCTCCAAGGGAGATGGGGGCACACGGGGGTGGAACAGCAGTGTGCAGAGCTGATGCCTGGAGCAGCATGTGTCCACGAGGGCTTTGGATTATCTTTGCTGTCAAGTCGAATCGGAGCGTTTTTAAGAGAGCTGAGACCGTGGAGGACAATTTTTTGGCAAGAGTGAATTTTATCTCACAGCTAGTGCTGAGAAGTATGGTGACCTGATCCTGGCCAGTGAGATTAAGCGCTGGTGTGCAGAAGCATGAAGTCCTCTGGTGGCTCTTTGCCTGAGCTCTTCTCTCTCTCATTCCTCTGCTTTGGAAAGACGTAAGGGGATGTAGGGATTCTGACCACCCCAAAAGCGCTGAACAAGTTCAGAAGCTAAAGCACCCAAGAGAAGGACAAGCAGCAGGGTCCAGGAGGAGCAATGCACCCTGCCTCCCACGCACCCAGTGCCCCAGGACGGATCAGCACCCACACGTGATGGCATCTGCTGTGCTGGGCTTCACGGCCAGGCAGGACCGCAGACACATCTGGGAGCCAGGCGACACACGGGCTGTGAATTCTGCTGGTCGACCCCCTTCCCCTCTGCCCAACAGCAGCATCACAGGCCAATACTCACTCTTTAGCTTGGAGCGCACTTTGTTCGCGGTCTTTTTTATGTCAGACATTAACTCTTCCAGTTCCTCCTTCGTTTCTGGGGAGAGAGAAGAGAGCAAACATGGGTGCACTGTAGATGATGCTAAAATCTCCTGCTCGTCCCCACAGCACGGTGGGACTCAGAACGGGGAGCAAGTTCACCTCGGATGTGGGAGAGCCAGCAGGGCGCTCCCAGCTCACCCGTCCAGGCGGATTCTCCTCACTGGAAGAGCTTGGACATCACCAGCACCTTACACTGCTCTTCCAGCAGCCATGGGCAGGCTCTGCTTGACAACAGCCCAGCAGCACCTCATGTCCCCCCACCCAGAGCCTGGGACCCCATCACGCCAAGGCCCCGCACGGAGGCATCAGGCTCTCAACCTGAGTGTGGTCCTCACCGCTCCCTGCCAGAGGATGCCAGCAGGGTCAACACACGCGAAGCTGCAGGGACTCCTGGCCCTGTCCACATTGTTAGAAAAGCATCAGTCTTACTGGGAAAAGCCTAGTGCCCCTATTAATTTTTCATTTGCTCTGCAATAAGGATATTAATTCTCCGTGCCCAGGCTCTCCTCTTCCCCTTCAGCCAGCAGCTATTGGTGACACTGCTTGACTAATTGCCAGTTTTCGCTCTTTCGTTCCTCAGCCGAAATTCACTGTTTTTGGCAGAAATCTACAGGCTGAAGCAGCACAGTGCCAGAAAACACACCAGTCCCACTGCCCACCTTCGAGAAACGGCTCTGGGAAGCCCAGCAGCAGCAGGACCGTGTAGAACAATTCTCGTATTTCACTGCTCAGGGCAACAGGACTTGCAAATCAATCAAATGCAAGGCCAAGTCCTCCTCCCTGGGCCCTTCAGATCCAAAGCTCCTTCTTCTGTGCTACCCCTCCAGAGCGCTGTGCAAACAGCACCGAACTCCTGCTAGGAGAACAAGCTCTGCCAAGCACTGAGGTCACATCCATAAGTCTCAGCGTCCCTCTAGGGCCTTTTCTCCAAGCCTAAAATGGTTTTTATAGATGTTGGTCTCCCAGGATGTCAGGAATATTGACTTCATTATACTGAGAAGAAAAGTAAAGAAAATGACGCACTTAGGAGAAGTAAATCAGCTGGGGAAATTCAGAGCCCTGAGTCACCAATGGGACTTGGCACAGGGCTATCCATCCTCCCTCCCATGCGCAAAAGCCAGAAATCAGGCTGTATGACTTTTAATTGAAAATTAATGACAGCTTAATCCTTATAATGTCTCTAGACAGGAAGTTGTGTCTTGCAGGGACGTTGTCTGCATTGCAGCAGCTTCTCCAAGCCAAAACCCAGTGTTTGTCCGGCCACGGATCAGAACCAAGCTCCTCAAGCTCAATCATACCTCCTGCCCAGAACCACAGAGCGGCCTCTAAGGAGACTGAGACATCCAGCAGGGACCTTCCCCATCCTGTGTTTCGGAGGCTGCTGGAGCCCTGCCACGGAGCAGCACACATGAAGCAGGACATACATGTTCTCAGAGGGGCACACAGGTCACTTGCCTGAGCCCTACCAGCACAGACCTTCGCTCCGAGCACCGGTGCGGCAGGGGACACTGCATCCGAACCCGGTCACCCCGGCAAAGGCAGGACAACAGGCACGGGGGAGACGGCCTCGCTGTGCCCATCCACCGGCGAGCCCAGAGCCCAGCTCGCTCCTGGGGACGTCTCCCCGAGCCGCCCCGCGCACCTGGACAACACCGGGACACGGCAGCACAGCCAGAGCACCGCAGCGCCTCAATACCCACGCGCTGGAGAAAGGACAAGAGGCTTCCCATTTAAATGGGATTTCTCGGAAATGCAGCCACCCTACTGCTTCCTTTCGGTTTTGATGAGATCGAGACTTATTAAATTAGGCAGAACTTTGTTTTATAGACTGCAGGCACATTAACGGAGTCATTTCAGTGGCTGCGGCAGCTCTGATGCTCTATGCTCTCAGCTGGCAGTCGCTAGACGTAATTAGAAAATCATGATGACGGGAAAGTGCTGGGGGAAGGTCACATCCTATCAATAGCTGTACACATTTCTAATGCAACTCAGGCCTTCAGTAGTATTCAGGAAAGTGAGGAAATAAACACTTCTGCAAATACCTCCATCCAGACTCCAATTATTTTGGTGCATGCCAACTAACTGGTCGGACACAGTGATTTGCCAAAAGAATAAACGTAACCTCAGGGAAGAGGAAGTTTGATTCTCACTTAAGTAATTATTCTCTTTGTTCCCATTTTCAGAAGAACCACAGAATCATTATGGTTGGAAAAGACCTTTACGATCACTGACTCCAACCACACGCCCTTGAACACCATACCTGCTAAGCCATGTCCCTATGTGCCTCATGTACCCGTTTCTGGAACACTGCCAAGGATGGTGACTCCACCACTTCCCTGGGCAGCCTGTTCCAGTGCTTGACTACTTTTTCCGTGTACAATTTTTTCCTAATATCTATCCTGAACTTCACCTGGCACAACTTGAGGCCATTTCCTCTTGTCCTATTGGTAGTTGTTTTGGAGAAGAGATCGACCCCAGCCTCACTACAACCTCCATTCAGGCAGTTGTAGACAGCGATAAGGTCTCCCCTGAGTCTCCTCCAGACTATAGAACCCCGTCTCCCTCAGCTGCTCCTCACAGGTCTGTGCTCCAGCCCCTGCACCACCTTCATTGCCCTTCTTTGGACTCGCTCCAGCACCTCCATGTCTTGTAGTGAGAGGCCCAAAACTGAACACTGTCCAGGAGGCAGCCTCACCAGGGGGACGATCACTTCCCTGGTCCTGCTGGCTACGCCCTTCCTGACACAAGCCAGGAGGCCGGTGGGTTCTTGGCCACCTGGGCTCACTGCTGCCTCATGTTCAGCTGGCTGTCAACCAGCAACCCCAGATCTTTTCCTGCCATGTCACTCTGCCCCAAGCCTGTAGCGCTGCATGGGCTTGTTGTGACCGAAGTGCAGGAGCCGGCGCCCCGCTTTGTTGAACCTCATACGTTTGGTCTCAGGCCATGGATCCAGGCTGCCCAGACCCCTCTGCAGAGCCTTCCTACGCTCAAGCAGATCTGCTCTTCCTCCCACCTTGGCGTTGTCTGCAAATCTGCTGAGGGTGCACTGAGGACCCTCATCCAGACCATTAATAACAATATTAAAGAGGACCGGCCCCAATATTGACCCCAGGGGAACGCCACTCATGAGCAGTTGCCGGCTGGACTTAACTCCCTTCACCAGCACTCTGTGCCCGTCCATCCAGCCAGTTCTTCACCCAGCAAAGAGTACCTGTATTTAATAACCAAACTAGCGTGGGCCAAATAACGCTACACTCTAGAGCAGGCTGAGGGTCAGCTGCTTAAACAGCAGCTCTGCAGAAGAAGAGTCAGGGGTCCCAGTGGGCAACAAATTGCCCAGGAGCGAGCCCTTTTGCTCGCAGATAAACCACATCGTGGGCCAGGTTAGCAAGAGGAATGAGCAGCAGCAGAGCAAGGAGAGGGATTATTCACTCTTGAGACCACGACTAAGGTGCTATGTCCTGTTTGGGACTTCTGGCTAAAAAAGCTGGCATTGACACAGTGGAGCAAGTCCAGCTAAGGCCACCAAGATGGTCAGAGCTAGAGGACAGGATGTACATGAGCATGCTGAGACACCTGGGTTTGCTTGGCCACAAAAGGAATAAGGAGGGATCCTACTGCTCTCTGCAATGAACTAGTGTAGAGGATGGAGCAAGACTCTCCATGCAGGCGCATAGATACTGCCCAAGATGTGGCAGAGCAAGCTGGGACATCGGGACTTCCAATTAGGTGTTAGGGGGGAAAACTCATCATGAAGATGGTCCAACAGTACTTCCAGAGAAGCTACGGGTGTCCATCCTTAGGGGTATGCAGAAAATATCTGCAAAAGACCCCGAGCAACCTGTTCTGATGCATCTGCTTGGAGGGAGATTGGACCAGAGACCTCTGGAGATCCACCAATATCAACCCTTGATTCTATGAAACAATTTCATGTAGCTTAATGGTAATTAACTTCCCTTTTGCCCATTGATTTGAGGTGAGGGAAGCAGCAACAAGCACACATACAGCAATATGGTGAGCTAGTGTGTGCACCCACAGTAGCTCTGGAAGCTGAGAGAGACACCCAGGTGGGCAAAAGGACACGAGACAGGACTTACATACTTTGAAGCTGCCTTTTCTCAAAATATTTTCAACAGGGCAACAGAGAGAAAACACTTCTGGATGGTTTTTGAGTCACTGAACTTGTGAGGATTACTTGGCACTGTGGCAGGCGCATGCTTTCCAGACAATTATTTTCACATTGATGATGTCTGTTTAAGTGACTCACTCCGATCTATTTAACTGTTCGTTGCGAGTAACACGCAGCAACAGGAAGCTGCACAGCTACAACATCCCTGCTGCTGCGGCTGGAGCCATCCAGAGCAGCAAAAGCAACAGCAAAGGACAACGTCAACACTTAATGCCACCGCGTTCCGCGCAGGTAATGTGATTCACTACAGCTTCAGGTGCTTGGAAAATTAAAAAAAAAAAAAAAAAAGGAAAGGAAAGGAAAAAACAGATTCCCTTGTGCTCCCCCTCCCCAAAGCTTTGTGAGCATCTTTTAGCAAGGGGATGATCTGACACAAAACAAACCCATCATCCTGGGCTCCCACACAGGGAGATGATGCTCTTCGGGGCGGGAAGATTCCTGCCTAAACACTCAGCATTTCTGAGCATAAACACCCAAAACTGAATGTCCTTAATAAAGGGGAGAAAAAACTACCGACCAGGTATAACTGCACGAACAAGCAAACTTTCACAGTGTAGAGGTTAACCATGGGGAAATGCAGAATCCCTCTGCTCTGCTTTGGAGCCTACGACACTTGTGAACATGCCAATGAAGGTAACATAGACCCAGGATGGTCCAAGGTAGCTTAAACTTCCTCACACAGGAAGAAACCTTCTTATTTGGATTAATAAAATTTCACCTTTTGTTACATGGAGTTCTTTACCAATGACAACCAACATAATTAACAAAAGCACATTTTAGAAGCAAACTCGTAACTCAGCTGTCTG